CCACAGGTTAAATGAGTTAAATATTGTGAAGCTCTTTGTATACCGCTTGGCATATGGTAAGCACATAGCACCTATGACCTGTTAGTCATTTAGCTGGGATGTTTTGGGGCAGCTTGCATAACTTTTTCCTGTGTACAGTTTTAACAGTAATAAAGAAAATAATATTGAGGAAGCTGAGTTATTATAAATATTTAATTGTTGACCTAATCAGTAAGCAGTAGTCTTAGAAGTCTTATGCAAAACTATGTAAGAAGACAGACATGCAAAACGTCATACTACTATAAGACATTTTGATATCTGAAACATAAAATTTAAATTTGTTCAATGAAAATGACTACTTTGAATGGTTGTTGGCCTGAACTAGGGTAGTACCATGGGATGCAATGTAGTGTTCACATTGGAAAATAGTTATATGGTAAGTTGGAACCACTGGGTAAATTATTTAATGTGAGGAATATGGAAGAAGCAAGAGAAAACTACCTCACAAGAGAATGGGATAAAAAAGACAGCCTATCAGCTTTTGCACTAGCACTTCTTAATAGACTACAGGCATAACTCGGAGATACTGCTGATTCGGTTCCAGACCACCACAATAAAGTGAGTTGTAATATTTGAGCGGGGGTGCGGGGGCATCTTGCCTTCTTCAGTTCATTAAAAAATGCAACATCTATGAAGCACAATAAAGTAAAAGCACATGGAAATGGTGTATACCTGTATTATAATTGTCTCCCTCTTGGGTGAGGGGGCGGGAAGCCATGTCAGCTATGTTTAATATTAGATATCAAGTATGCTTTTCTTTCAGAGTGCACAATTTCATAAGAGAAGTATGTGGCTAGGAAAAAAAAGTTTGATTTCTTGAGTGTTAACCATGTTTTGTTTCTAGTTGTGTTAGTGATAAACTCCCATTCTTTAGGAGGGGATAAGTAGCAAAATGAAAGTTTAGTCCCTGCTTGCTTATTACCCTTTGATAAAGTAGCCCTGGTTATTTACTGGGAATGTGGAGCTCGGTTTTCGATCCATCCATTGAGATGACTTACTGGAAGAGGAGCATTGACACAGGCTCAACACAGTTACAGGAGTCATAACTGCATACGTTGCTGGCCATAACCTTCCCAAGAGAAACCATGTGCACAGTTGCTACCTACCCCTTTGCAACATCTAGAAAGAAGACTTTTATAAGCGGTTCCAAAGTGTGCTCAATTTTATTGGGTTAGGGAAGACTTAGGCAAGATACAGCTAACCTCTGGATGGTTGTTAAAACTAGGAGTAGATGGGATAGATTATCCTGGAATAAGAGAAAAGGCAGCCTTAAAGGGCTGGCTAAGGAAGAGGATTTCACAAAGGAGTAAATAAATAGGAGGAAAACCAGAAGAGTATGGTGCTGTGGAAGCCAAAGGAAGACAGTGTGAAAGAAGATGGTTAATGTCAAATGTGACAGAAGGTCAAGTAAAATAGGGAAGGACTAAGAAATGTCTGATTATGATTGCTGAAACCAGTGATACTGGTAAGTGCAGTCTAAACGGAATTGTGGGAGTAGGCACTACTAGAGAAAATAAGCAACAAAATGAGAACAAAGTTCATGCATCTGTTTATCAGCACTGTATTGCACAGGAGAAATAGGTGTGGAGTTACCATAAGTGAAGACAATGCATGTAGTTAAATTTTTGAAACATGCTTGAGACTAAGGGAAGGAGAGTGTAGCTAACAGAGACAAGGGGTTGTGAATTTATTGTTTGCTTGTTTTGTTTTTAAGATGATAGAGATTTGGGTCTGTTTAAATGTGAATGGAGACCTACCCGGTTTGGCTCAGCGGTTTGGCTCAGCGGATAGAGCGTTGGCCTGCGGACTGAAGGGTCCCGGGTTCAATTCTGGTAAAGGGCACATGCATGGATTCTTCCCACATCCCCTGTGGGGGCGTGCAGGAGGCAGCCAATCCATGATTCTCTCTCATCATGGAGTTTCTATCTCTACCTCTCCCTATCTGAAATCAGTAAAAAATGTATTAAAAAATAAATAAATGTGAATGGAAATGAATGGCTTTGATGGAGAAGTTGAAAATCAAGGTGGGGGAGGGTAGGAAACATAATGACTTTAGCAAGGTACTGGGGAACATAGGAAGAAGAACCCGGGACCGCTAGGTGGGAAGGAGATTAGAGATGCAAAAAAAGAAGTGTCATTGGTGCCAGAAAGTTGAGGGTGAGTTCCTCTGATATCTCTATGTTTTGAATGAAGTAGAAGATGCTCATGGGGTGGGTTGTGTTGGGAATCAGATTTAGAGGAGACTACAGCTTTGAAATACCTCTTGGAGAATGGAAGAGAGGGCTAACTAGGAGAATAGAAGGAGGGAGGATATCGTTCATTTTCACCAGTGGCATTTAGAAGACTGGATAGAAATGTGGATTGGCAGTCAGGTAGTTAATGGTAAGATTTGTTACCTAAGTGAGAGAGAGGAGACTGACACCACAGAGTGGTTGAAATAATTTTATGTTGAGTACTGATGATTTTTTTTTAAATATATTTTATTGATTTTTTGCAGAGAGAAAGGGAGAGAGATAGAGAGTTAGAAACATCGATGAGAGAGAAACATCGACCAGCTGCCTCCTGCACATCCCCTACTGGGGATGTGCCTGCAACCCAGGTACATGCCCTTGACCGGAATCGAACCTGGGACCTTTCAGTCCGCAGGCCGACGCTCTATCCACTGAGCTAAACCGGTTTCAGCAGAGTACTGATGATTTAATTGTGTCAATCCAAATATGAAATGTTGCCTTGCAGGAGCAGCAGAAAGACAAGAAAGTGTGTGTGTGATGGAGAAGAAAGTGATAGAAGCAGTGGCATTGTTGTCTAAGCTGAGTAGAGCTAACAGTAAAGATAAAAATGGAAGTAGACGATCTAGGGACCAAAGTCCTAATGAGGTACAAGACCAGGTGTAGTGAACAGTTCTGAGAGAGCTAATAGGAATATGGCATTGGTACTTAAAATTTCAAAAATGGAAAAGTTTGGGGATAACAAGATTCAGCCTGTGTCCTGTGACTACTAGGCGACTTAAGTGGATTAAAGTAAAGATCATTGTGTTGAGGTTAAGGAACAATGGCAGAATTTTGGAAACGTCAGTGAACCCGGTTCCAAAGTCATAGTTTAATTATTTTCTTTGATGCATTACCTAAAGTGATATTGCTGGGTCAAATCCCCCCGCCCCACCCCCCCCCATAAAAAGAGTTGAGGCATTTTGGCATATTGCCCTTTATCATTTGATACTCTCATTCTGAGAATGTATCTCTTCACACTTAATACCAAGAATTGTTCAATAGGTCTGACATTAAAATCCATGTTTTTGTCACAGCTTGTGTTGCACATCGGTTGAGCCTTGACCCAGGAACCAAGAGGTCACTGGTTTGATTCCCAGTCAGGGCACATGCCCAGGTTCATATATTAAAAAGAAAAGGAAGAAAGATACGCTTTTGGCTGCTCTGTAGGTGCTGGACTTGCTGGTACCACAGATGAAGCTACTGTGCTGCAACTGTGATATCAAGGCAAAGAGTTACTAATATATCCCCCCCCTCAAAAAAAATATATATATATATTCCCCAAAAATGTATATACACACTTTGAATAATTATAAAGGCAGTGTTTATTAAAATACATTACATTTTCAAAATTGAGCTATAAGCTTGTTAAAGTGTGTCTACATTTTTGGGGGACACCTGATACATGCTTTGGTTAGGAAAGACATTGAACTTTTTTTATTTTTTTACTGTAATTGTGATTTGCCTGCCCCTGTCATTTGTTTATTTTTCTGTTGGCACAAGAACCTTTTTCTACCATTTCACTTTTCTTAATTAATTTCTTTGACTTGCATTTTTCCTTTTAGTATTTATCTTATTCTATTTGAATTGTGTGCTTAGCTTATTAATTTTCCTTCTTTGTTTAATAATAAACACTTTTAAGTGTTAGTCTGATTACCTTCTTAGCCAAATCATATAGGTATTGATGTGTATAGAGTTTTCATTGTTATCTTCTTAATATTCTTTAATCACAATTTTTATTTCTTTGCAGCAAATGTCACTTATTAGTAAATGGTTGAAATTGTTTTGTTGTCTTTGTCCTGCTTTATTTGCAAGGTTTGTTTTTTTTCCCCCTCTTTTTTTAATTAAGCAAAGCTAGAGAGTGGTCATTACTTATTTAGGCTTTTGGAAACAGTGAAATAGTTTTTATGGACTAAACTGTTAAAAGAGCCCAACATTGTCGCTCAGTGGTTGAGTATAAACCTATGATCCAGGAGGTCATGGTTTGATCCAGGTCAGGGCACATGTCCCTGGTTGCCAGCACAATCCCCAGCAGGAGGTAGCCAATTACAGATTCTCTGTCATCATTGATGTTTCTATCTCGAGATCTCTCCCTCTCCTTTCCTCTCTGAAATCAACAAAAATATTTTTTTAAAAAAACAAATTGTTAAAAAATATATTCTATATGGGTCCTAGAAATGAAAATATAGTTTTTATTGGGTAGAAAATATATATCTCCTTTAAATCTTAGTTGCCTACTCATCCTGACTTGTCAAAGAATGAGATTCCTGCTTATTTCTTTTATTTTTTGTTTCATACATTTATTTTTTATTTTTTTCTAAACATTTTTATGCTACATTAATTTACCCATTCAGCAAGTAATAACTGAGCACCTACTATGTGCTTAACCACTGTGTACTACTGTTCTGAGTACTGGAGTCACTCATAGTAACATGTGTGGTCTGTAATTCATGATTTTCACCAGGCAGTTATAGTTGCAAATGTTGCATCACTTCTTTCTTTCTAGAAAAAAGTGTGGAAACAAATATGTGTTATTTAACTTAATCGGTCTTTCGATAAAATATTGTAAAGGTATGATCATTAAGTTTTTTGAAGGATTAATGTATATCAAATTTTTTTCTTGCATCACTTATTCAGATTCTGGGTTGTCATTTGTTGTTTAGACTTTCCAAAACAAAAATCTTTATTTTTACTACAGGTGAAAGCACTGAAAGAGAAGATTGAATCTGAAAAGGGGAAAGATGCCTTTCCTGTAGCTGGTCAGAAGTTAATTTATGCAGGTATGGATTGAACATTGAAATTAATGTGCTATTTTCTTCCTCCTGTGACATTCTTTTAATTTTAGAAAAGAAATTGCACTACTAGCCTTATAGTAACCAGGAAAATGTATTTTAAAAATAGACTTGATATTTGACTTTTGTGGAGAAAATGCTTTTCCTTATTCTTCAAACTTAGCATAACATCATCATTGTAGATTTCAGTAAGGTAGGTCTTAGATGCCCATGGATTCTTATCTCTTTCTAGATAGGGATTTCGTAGTATTTTCTTAACTGAGATAGTTTAAAAAAAACACAAACTTCAAAATTAGGAAACAGCATCCTAAAGAGGCAGGTTGTTGATGGCAGACATAAAACTATAATTTCTGGTTCCTAGTCTTGGTCTGTTTTCTCAGTTCCATAGAGTAGAGAGATTATTCTTTTTAGTTTTAGTATCTGTAGCCTTTTATTGAAGAACTTTTTAAAAACGGAAAACAAGTTCAAGGAAAAGGAAACCTGAAGGAATCTTGACCTAACATTTGACCTTTAGCATTACTGAAGTCTTTTTGATTTTTTACAGAGAAGGGAGAGGGAGTTAGAAACATCGATGAGAGAGATCGATCAGCTGCTTCCTGCACGCCCCCCACTGGGGATGTGCCCACAACCAGGGTACATGCCCTTGACTGGAATCAAACCCGGGACCCTTGAGTCCACAGGCCGACGCTCTATCCACTGAGCCAAACCAGTTCGGCTCTTTTTTTTTTAAGTATTTAATATGTCTTCTTTTTCCCCCGATTGACTCCCCGCCCCCACCACTCTTGCCCATCGAAGTCTTATGTACTTCTTTGTGTCTTACCCAGCTCTATATCATCTTGTCATTTTTGTATACTAAATCATTTTATGAAGTACTTTATATATATGTACACGTGTGTGTGTGTGTGTGTGTGTGTGTATTGATTTCAGAGAGGAAGGGAGAGAGATAGAAACATCGATGATGAGAGAGAATCATTGATTGGCTGCCTCCTACATGTCCCGACCGGTAAATGAGCCCGCAACTTGGGCATGTGCCCTTGACTGGAATTGAACTCCGTCCCTTCAGTCCGCAGGTTGATGCTCTGTCCATTGAGCCAAACCGGTGAGAGCAGAAGTATTTTTTATTATGAGTATTACTTTTATAGCATTGGAACATTTCTGTCTTGCCAGGCATCTAGTATTTGTGGGATCAGGAAGTTTGTTCCTTTCTCCTTTCTCCTTCCTCCAGGAAGAAGGATTATAAGTTGTTCCCCAGGAGGAATCCTTGTGCAATCTGAATATTAAATTTTGCTTGTCTTTATAATTTTTTTTTAAGAATTGCTTGGGATATCTATATATTATATATGTGTTTGATATCTTTTAGTCAAATGCTTATGCCTTCTTAACTGTGTTTAATTGTGTTTCCATTTATATTTATCCTCATCTTGGTTGATTAGTTAATTTTTTTCTTTTGGGAAAGTACTTTAATTGATAGAATTGATGTTGATGATTGTTTTAACTTCAGGTATATCTATGACAAAGGTTACTGTGCCTTAAATAATATATATTTTTTTAATATACCAGGTAAAATCCTCAATGATGATACTGCTCTAAAAGAATATAAAATTGATGAGAAAAACTTTGTGGTGGTTATGGTGACAAAAGTAAGTTTAAGCCTTATTCTTTATATCTTCGTGTATCTGAGTTTTTAAATAATGATGATGCCAAGGGCAGCTATTATATCTTTGAGTGAATACAGTTATGCACATCCATAGTAGTGTGCACTTAACTCTGTTTGTTTTTTTTTTAACTTTATTATTATTTTAGAGAGAGTGGAAGGGAGGGAGGAGGGGGGTTAGAGAAAAACATCAATATGGGAGAGGAGCATTGAACGGTGCCTCCTGTACATGCCCTAGTTGAGGATTAAACCCACAACCTTTTTTTTTTAAATATATTTTTATTGATTTCAGAGAGGAAGTGAGAGGGAGAGAGAGATAGACACATCAATGATGAGAGAGAATTATTGATTGGTTGCCTCCTGCACACCTCCTACTGGGGATTGAGCCCACAACCCAGGCATATGCCCTTGACTGGAATCAAACCCGGGACCCTTCATTCCCCAGGCTGACGCTCTATCCACTGAGCCAAACCAGCTAGGGCAGAATCCACAACCTTTTTGGTGTATGAGATAACGCTCCAACCAACTAGGTCATCCAGCCAGGCCTAAATATGGGTTTTAAAGTCACAAAATAATTGATATATACACTAGGAAATAGAGTTCAACAACTAAAATTTGACTAAATACTTTTGTACTAAGTAACAGTTTATATGAATTGGACTTGAAAATTTTTTAAACCATTAAGAACCATATTAATTTTGCAGTGTTCAAGTACTTATTCATTAAATGTTAAACTTTAAATACAAAGAAAGAAATCACATGAGGAAACTTTGTCTCATCTAGTGTTTAAAAAAGTATGATAAAATATACATAGCCCAAAATTTACCAATTTAACCATTTTTAAGTATATGGTCCAGTATCATTAAGTACTTTCACGTTGTGCAACCATCACCACCATCAGTTTCCAGAACTTTTTTCATCTTCCCAAGCTGAAACTGTACTCATTAAATAGTAACTTTCTGTCCATACCTGCCCTCCACCTCTGCATACTTAATGTAAGTGGAATCATACAGTATTGTTCTTTTAGTGACTGACTTATTTCAGTTCGTTTTGTAGCTTTGCCGTCCTTTTTAGGGCTGAATAATATTCCATTATCTCACCTAGTTTTATCATCCATAGTCCATATGGAAATTGTGGTGGGAACACATTTGGATATGTATTTGTTATCAGTCTTATTACCGTTAGTATTATAGTAACCTTGACTATTAGAATATAATTAAGGATTAGCAGGATAGGTTCAGAATACGTGCATGCATTTGAAAAATAGCTGCTTGGAGCCTAGCCTGTTCTTATCTATAATTAGAGGCCCGGTGCACGAAAATTCATGCACTCGGCAGGGTCCCTCAACCCAGCCTGCACCCTCTCACAATCCGGGATCCCTCAGATAGAGTCTGTAGGCCTGGCCTGAGATCAGGGCCTATTGGGGCTTTCCTTCCCCAGGCTGCAGACAGCTGGCCCCATCCACACCCCCGCCGCTGCCATTGCTTGCCATCTGTGCACTGCTGCCCCCGCTTCCCTGCCACCCTTGGCCTCCCTCTGTAGGCGACAAAATGGGGTGCGATGGCTTGGCTGGCCTGGACCTCCCTCTTTCTTTGCTGGGGGTCAGGGCTAGCCCTGCGAGGGCCTGTCTGCCTACCTGATTACCCCTAACTGCTCGCCCGCCTACCTGATCACCCCTAACCACCATGTCTGCCTGCCTGATTGCCCCTAACCACTTGCTTGGGGATGTGGCCAGCCTGCAAAGGGCCGTGGTGGTCTGATCTCTGGTCGTTTCAGTCATGACGCCTCTGGCTTTTTATTATCTACTAGAGGCCCGGTGCATGAAATTGCTCAGCCCAGCCTGCCCCTCTCACAGTCTGGGAGCCCTCAGTGGATGTCCTACGTGTCCGTGTCCGTCCCCACTGGGAGTCTGCACCTATCCACATTGGAGGCTCAGAGCAGGAACTGTGTGTGTGTGTGTGTGTCTGCTGGGGGCCTGCCCCCAGCCACACCATGGAGGCTTGGAGCAGGAGCTCCTCTGTGTTGATCTCTCAGGCTCCTGGCCTCCACTGCATGTTGTACTCTCCCTTGAGCTATGGCCAGGATGGGGTTGCTGCTTGCAAGCCGGGCTTTCCTGCTCCTGGATTGCCATGGCGACCGGGGAGCAGGCCCAGCTGGGGGCTGCCCACAGGCCCGGCTTTCCCACTCCCAGGCCTCCGTGGCAACCGGGGAGCAGGCCCAGCTTGGAGCTGCCTGCAGTCCGGGCTTGCTCTCCTGCTCCCAGATCCCCATGGTGACTGGGGAGCAGGCCCAGCTGGGGGCTGCCTACAGGCCACACTTTTCTACTTACCGATGGCTGGATCACCACAGCAACCCAGGGCCCAGCAGCACTTTCCTGCTCTCCAATAGTCATAGGGTCCCGGCTGGGGGTGGGGCTTAGCAGTGTGGGACTTAGGCGGCACGGGGATCCTGGCTGGGGGCTCAGGTGGCACACAGGAGTCCTGGCTGGGGGCG